CAATTGTTGCAACTTCACTAATGAAATCTTGCCCATTAGCTTTTGATTTGCCCAACATCTTTACTGCCACAAGATGGTTGCTACGAAGTTTTCCTTTAAATACTGAACCATAACCCCCTTCTCCTAATTTATCTTTGAAACCACTTGTTATTCTTTTTATTTCATAGTAAGAATACCTAATAGGTATAAAGTTATTTTGACTTTGAAGGAACTCTTCAATTGTATCATCTGCGGATAAATGTCTTCTTCGTAATTTGTATGTAACAACCGCAATCAAGATAGATATCCCCAGCAACATTCTTGCTAAGGCAATTCCTCCTTCTCGAGAAAAATATATAAACACATTAGTATTTTTCAATGAAAAGCATTAGTGTACAAGAAAATACAAACATATGAACCTTAATTTTAATAGTAGTCATGAAGCACAAACACAAAATTGTATATTCATACCGAACAAACTTGAACAAGGAGGGAAAATGAACAAATCAGAAAATATTGAAACAAGCATCCAAAAACATAACCTTCAAACTACACAATTGAAACTAATTTATCATAAAAGAAACACCAAAAGATGCAAATGAACCCAAAAAAGAATTGATAAAGTCAAGTGCTGAAATCCCCTAATTCACCATAACAGGATTTATGGTCATCACTTATTGTCGACTCAACAATTTTGGAGGATGTCTATTCCATTCTCTAATATCACCAAATCTCTAACAGGACTGGTAACATTCATCAAACTATAACTTATTTAGACAAAAAAAACTAGGTAACCATCTTCTAATGGTCCAAGTTTTGATTGGTAGACATTAGAGAAAAAAGAATTAGAAGTTAAGGCAGGTTCTTCAAAATTCTTCTTTGAAATGTTGTCAACTCTGTAACACCCAAGATTTGAGTTAAACTGTTTCTTAACACTATCCTTTAGCAAACTCTCATCCTTCGAACTATTGACAATATTTACTAAATTCATAGTTGCACTATGTTCTGTAAATTTAAAAAAAAAAGGATTGTTAATTTTTTTCCCGTACACTTTCAACCGTATTAGTAGACTTAAACCAATGAGTATCAACATACATTTTAGGTGTTACCAAAATTCTTAAGAAGTGAGATCCATTGTGAGCATGATCTTGAAGAGTTGGAAAAACTTCTAGCATTGAAATTAAATCTAAACTTGTATGATCTAATAGGCTCGTTTAATTTCATTTTTCTTAAAATTGAGGACTTGGATAAATATTGACATATTGCTCAATTTATATATGCAAATGTAAATATAAAGCTAAAGCTTAAATATACCTGTTATTCCAACACAGAGAATATACGTCTCTGCAACAAAATTCCAAGATAAAAATAAAATGCAATTATTTCAACAAGGGAACAAAAATATATAGCGAATCCAAGAAAAACATTACGAATGAATTTTAGGAAGCATACTTGTAGGTGGATTTTTAGTATTGGAGGATACATGATGACCGTTAAAAAGGAAATGTACAAAGCTGTCCATATAGTTTCTCAATGCATATCCCAAAGCTAACAATCTGGATTTTCAACCCATCAAATGAAAATTAATAATAGTGACATAAAAGAAAATTGATAATTTGAAACGGATAAAGAAATGTAAAAGTAAAATCAACAGAAGGTATAATTAAACATTAATTATGTTTTGTGTTATCTTATTCTTACCTGTAGTGAAAGTTATTAAAGATGAATTTGTCATTGTATAGTTGACTACTAGAATATGGTATTGAAACAAATTCAAAATTTTCGATTTAAACAACAATTTGATTTTTATTTTAGTTTTTCGAATCACAAGTTTCAAATAATGTTAGCAGAACCAAGGCACTACTTTTTATTAGAGAAAATTGCACTTAGGTATTGAAATAGAAATAAATTAATGGGCTGTGTAGTTTATTGAAAAATAAGTAATGTTTGATGAAATGATTTTTTTAATGTAATCATAAAAATGTTAATCACTATCAACTACTGTAATAAAAAAAACCCAACGAAGTACCAAAATTACCCTTAATTTTTTTTTTTATACTTTTCCCTTTTATTCATTTTTTCTTTTCCAATCCTTCCTTGTCCGTACCAGTTGGCCGTTGATCGATGAGGAAGAAAGTTGGAAGAGAGAAGAAAAGAAAAGGTCAATTTTATCTTGACAATAAAATACCTCATTACACTCGAAATATATGAATTACATTCATTACGTCATATAATATTATTTTAAAAAGAAAACACTAATCATTTATTATATTGCAATCGTCTGATACACCTAACTGTAATTTTTTAATTTAATTATTAGTCTAAATTCCTATCAAGAACAGTTATCAATCTTTTCTAAAATAGATCTCAAATGCACAAAAAAACTTACATCTTTCGGATTAATGGATCTTCGCGCCATGTGTGGGAGTCGGAGAATAACCATCTCAGTTCATAGCCCTGTAATAGCTGTTCATAAATATCCGAAGTAGACAGACCTGTAATATTCTCAAGCATGATTGGAACCTTGGCTATGACTATGCAAGATGGATTGAAATCAAGCGTAGGGGTGTTTCCATCTAAAAAATAAAAGTAGGAAGGCGGATGGGAATAGCTATTGGGACAACGAGAGGCATTGACGTATAGAGAAGATTTCATTGCTGTTGTGCAATTTACTAGATACATGTAACTATGAGGATAATTTAAACGAACGTATAGGTCGGCTGTTGAATTTAAATACAAAAAATCAGATAGATATCTAATAATATTACGAGGAAGAGAGCAATTGTCTCTGCTCAGTCTCTCATGATCCACCATAAACATAGCTCGTATTGTTTGGTTTTTATAAGAGATCTTTTGGACGTACAATTTCTCCCCAACAAACACAAAAGTGGTGCGATTGTTGTTGTCGCATTCCAGTTCCAGGTTATGGTAACCACACTCGGAAGGCTGGCTTTTTAATCGGAAAGGGAAATTGACGGTAACGTTTCCACAGTAAGAAGAGCCACAATCTTTAGGAATTGGAAGTTCAGCGATGAAAGAATCAGGGAATGATAGAAATAAAGAAAGGGCCATGAGCCGAAACAATGAAAGTTGTGAATTTACCATCCTAAAGTTTTGGTGATGAAGAAACAGATTTAAGTCCAAGGAAATATATAAGCATAGAAACGTTTTTTTTTTTTTTTTTTTTTTTTTAAGTTAAAGTGAGGGAAGACTTTAAACTTAGAAAGGTATGAGCATAGAAACGTCTTTTTTTTTTTTTTCTTCATTCCGGGAAGAAAGGTAAATGCATATCCGAGTTGATTGACCGGTCAAGTGCTTTAAACCATTTTAATTATTATTCAATTAAAATCAACAATATACACGCAAAAGGAAAAATAAATTTATATTTGATGAATTATTATTGTATAAATTTTATATACTATTAATATATTATATGTTGTCACCTAATTAATTGATAAACTTAAAAAATTTAAAATCCTTAAAAAATAAAATTAAAAAGAAAATATTCAATAATTACTATAAAAATAATTATTTTTTAATTAAATAATTTTAGTATTTATCATTAAAGATTTTTAATTTTTTAAATTTATGAATCAACGAAATGATCCAATATAATGCATTACTATAATAGATTTATATAACATCAGATAATGCATAGTATATAAATCTTAAAAAAAGCACAATAATATAAGAATTTGTAGAAAGGGACGTAAGAATTCAAGAAGTATAATGTATATTGGAAGATGCGAGTGAGGAATCAAGTTGTAAAAGACAAGGAAATTAGGCACTGAAATATTTTGTGTGGTGTAAATGAAAGCAAGTCATACTTTGAGAAATCAAAGTCAATTGTGGAGAACAATTTAAGTAATTAGTCAAGCAATTAGCAGTAAGTCCAAGCAATTATTTTGCGAAGTCCAAGCAATTATTTTGCGAAGATGAATAATTAGGAAGTGGTTAAGACCCCGTCAAAGAAGGCATCCACAGCCCCGGGCCAGCGTACGCGTATAAGACCTTTTTGTTATTTCTGATGGTCTATGGTTAAAGTCGTGCGGTTATCTTCCTCGTAATCCAGTTAAAGCCCAGGGTAACGACATTCTGAAGGTTGGGTTGCTGATTGAAAAGGGAAACTAATGTTGACATTTCCACATAGAGAAGAGCCACAGTCTTTGTTTCGGGCTCTAATTATGGAAGCATCAGGGAATAGAAATAAAGCAGAAGGCTGAAGATCAAACAAGGGGACTGCAGCTTTTAGCATCCTAATTAAAGTTGGTACTAGGTGTAGGAGAAAACGATCGACAATGATGCAAATAACGTATTGGGTACGTACTCCAGTGATAAAACTACATATTCGAGTAGATCTGTTCATTTATGCTGAATTTATTTTGTATTAAACGTACGTAAGCAAGTCACACTTTGACATAACCAATTAAGCTACTCTTACGTGTAAAACTTTAGCTATGGGTCAGTCAAGCACTTAATTAGATAAGACCTGTCTGCCATCACAATTGACAATTGAGAGAAAAATTGTCTGTTCGAAATCAAAGTCATTATAAAGCTGCGGTTCTTTTCGCGAATAATTTTTGAGAATCATTTTTTTTATTTTTAATATTTATTTAATAAAAAATAATTGACCAATGAAAAATAATTTATTAATCAATATAAAATAAAACTATTTTATTTTTCATTTTTTTCTTTTGAAAATGAGAAGATCTTCAAAAATTATCTATGGATAAAGTTACTTGTAAAGTTTGTGAGCATAATTTTATTCAAATTGGATTTTGGATATGATTTTTTTAATTTAAATTTAATTTGATTTAATTTAAAATATTATTATATTAATTAAAAAATTTTTATTTAATTTTATTTAAAATTTAAAACATTAATATTAAATTTTTTAAATATTTTAATCTTAAATATTTTTATAATTGTACTTAAGTTTGATATTGAATATAATATTTTAAATTTGCACTTGATTTGATCCTGCCTAAAATATTATTATATTAATAAAAAATATTTTTATTAATTTAATTAAAAAAATAAAATATTAAAATATTATCATTAAAAGTCTTTTGCAATTTTAATTTTAAATATTTTAATTTTACGTATTATTGGACATAAATATTTTAATATTTCAATAATAAATAATATTATATTATTATTTTAATAATATATAATAACATATTAAAAATATTTTATTACTTTAATAATCAATAATCAATAATATTATTATTTTCATAATATGAGTATTTTTAAATAATTTCCTAATAATTTTCAATTTAAAGTATATTATTTTTATATTTTATTTATTAATGTATCTATATTACTATTTTAATAATAAATATAAATAAATAATGTTTCTGTTTTTTTTATAAGAAAAATTCAGGGGTAAATAAGCTACTCAGTCCTTCAAGTCAATGTAAGATGTGTCGTATCTACAGCTTAAGATAGGTGGTTGCAATTCATGCACTCGAGATAACTCCAACAAGTGACCACCGATAAGACTTAAACCTAAAACCTCTTCGTATAGAAGAACGAATCTAACCAATTGAACCAACCACTTGTTGGTATATTTCTATTATGATTTAATAATAGATACTTTCAATATAAAATATAATTATTTTAATGGTATAAATATGGTTAATATTTTAATAATAAATATTATTATTTTTAATAACATTAGAAAATTTGCCTAATTACACTTGGGCTTACTTTTTTAGTTTAAAATAATATAAATTATTTAATTTAAATACACTTATTTCTTTATTTATGTAAAAAAATATAAAAAAATTGTCCACTACAAAAGTTTTAAAATTTTCATTTTAAGAGTGTTTAAATTAAATATCTTTTATTATTTAATTTAATTTAATAAACAATAAGCAAATTGACATGTTTTAAACGATTTTCTAAAAGAACTCATATTTACTTTCTTTTTTGTTGGAGATTTTATTTATTTATTTATTTTAGTTTTTCGTATTTTCTTTTTTAAAAAGAAATTAAAAAAGTGAGAGCTTTATTCAATTGAACCTTCATTTAACCTAAAATAATATTTGAAAGAGCATGTTTATATATACAAAACATTGTTTTGCTTCTTAATTAACAAAAAAAAATTGTAAAGGCCAAATTGCTTGACAAATGTCAAGCAAAGAGGCCCTCAATTAAAGCTAATGAATAGTAAAAATTAAGAGATTACTTTTAATTACAGTAAGATTGCTTTTAATTATAATATATAATAACAAATGTATGTGTTTATATATATGCATACATATATGTTTAGTTGATTATTGATTAATGATCTTTTATAATTTTTTGTAACATTTTAATAAAAATGTTTATCAAGAAATATTTTTACTAGATTTTTTTGTACTTTTTCATAACATCTTTCCTTTTTTAGTAAAAAATTTGATAAAAAAGAAAATAGTAGTCTCCTATGGGGGCTAATTAAATTAGGAGACTATTTTTAATTATAGGATATAGTAATAAATGTATATACATATATATGTTTAATTGATTAAACATATTTTATAACTTTTTTTTTTCATAATAATATTTATTGAGAAATATTTTTATTAAAAATTGTAATTTTTTTATAATATTTTTTAAATAAAAATTTTTATAAAAAATAGAATAGAAGTCTCAAATAGAACTAATTGTTTGACACTTGAAAGTCTGTTATTATATATGTAAAAAAAATTTTCCACTGTTATATATAAAACTAACGTAAAGGCCTACGGGATTCTGGAGATTTATTTTAATAACTTCAAAATAAGAAAGGCATGTAAGTGCACAAACAACATAATAAATATACCACATTCCCTTGACAAAGTGACTGCCACAATAGAGGCAGTACCTAAAATATTCAATCAATGAAGGCAACTTAATCGATATTTCTTATGAGCCTCACGTAACTCTTCCTCTTTCAACAACTAATCATTGTAATTTATTGCACAGGAAATGAATCTCAGTGTCAACACCAACGCTCCTAAATATCATAAGATAGTGCTCCACAATTACCTGGCATGTATAAAGTACTGTAGAAGCATTCCCTTGAGCACTCATAAGAAAATTATAGAAAATTTTTTAATAATAATGTGCAAAATGAAAATGCAATGAAATCAATTAAAGGTCATGATTTGCTTATCTAAAAAAAGGAAAGGAAAAAAATTTGATGCAATATGCACTAAAAATTAAATTTCAATATCAATTTTTGGAGAAAAGTATAAATAATTAGTTTTTATGCTTTTCACATTAAAAAAAATTAAAATTTTAATGACTTTTTTTTACATTTAACGACGTTTATAAATACTACCAAAGAATTAATGACATTTACCAAAAATACCGTTAAAAATATCGTTTATTCCTACATGCCTACTTGTTAATGAAATCACCGTGACCAAGACCTTGCTTGCTCTAAATCTAGTCCACTGTCCCTACGTTTATAGACCCACCCTCATATTACAATACCCAGCCTTACAAATTATGAACTTAAAATCACACCAATAAAAAATAGCACCTATAAGGCCCATTGTTGCTATTCTTGATATGCTATCTGAATCAGGCAACACCAGTTGACCTAAAAATAATGGTAGTATAAATTTTCATAGTGCAGATTTCAGAAGGTATAACATAACTTCGGTCAGTAGTTTGCTTAAATAAATAGTAGCAGCTGCTGATGAGAAAGCATTGGAAGATAGTTCATAGCTGCTCTACGAACTGCGGCTTCTTTAGCTACTTGAAGCCACCGTGGAGTTCCAAAGTTTGCAGCTTCCCCACTATTAAAGCCTACTTAGCAAAAAAGTTGACCATGACAATCAGTGAGAATTAAAATTAGCAAACAAATGCTACAGTAAATTCCTTGCTATGGTTTCCCAGATGCACAAATAAAATAATACACTCCTGGCATAGTTCTCAGAGCAGAACAAAGACGTCAGTAATAGTTTGTGTCTAACACAATATTGGTACGTAGATTCACATAGACCAATACAAAATGCCCCTCCTCATTGTGACAGTGTTTGTAATATAAATATATGTATATTGATAAATTCTAGTCAGTCCTAATTCCAGTTCCAGGGTAACATCACATATATTTAAA